TGTAAAAAAAAATGTAAAAACCTTTACCGAGTTCCTGCAAGATACGTCAGTTTTTATCAGTTGAAAAATCGAAAAAATGGTAGAAATTGATCTAATTCTTGTGAAAATGTTTACGTTATCTGACTATTAGGAAGTAAATAATGGCGTCCAATAGGGTCGCATCGTGTGTGATATGACTCCAATTTTGAACAAATAAAACCTTTTTTTTCCTTAAATGTTATGTAAATGTGTGAATGATGACCTCTCACTCGCCACCTGCACTGTTTAGCGAACATTTTAATCGCTTCCAGCGGAGTCGAAGAGGAGAATTTAAAATTTACTGTCTCCAGTTGCGAAATGATTTTGCTTTGCCACAAAAGGCGCTATGGGCGAGCGCTGCTTGTGTTTCGGCTAGCGAAGTTGATATAAATATATGAACGTACAGGTTGAATATGACTGGAAGACTTCAATTTTACGAATTCTAGAGAGCGCGTATTAACAGCAATAATATACAAACAAATTTTATATTTCATATATTATTTATATTACGGCTCCTTCTTTGTGGTAATTCGCTTCAATGTTCGTTTTTCTTTGGGGAAATAGGACTTATCTTTTGACAATTTCTTTGCTAAAACACAATAGTGACCAGCGCATGGAGCGAATGTTTATTCATGTTTGTAGCGAACGGTCAATAAATTCAGGTCTAATTATGCCTTTGAATAAACAATTTTTGAACGGCCGAAAAGTTTATTTTCGATAATCAGGGATTTTACGGCTTTTTGCAAAAGGCTCTACTTCATTTGATTATAATGTGTCGTTGGCTAAACCTCTTACGGAGAAAAAAAATCGGTGACTAAATATATACATACAGTGAGCTTATAATTATAGAAGGAAGCCTTCGAAATAAAATTACCTCTGAAAATCGTCGAATAATTTTAAAGCCAAAGAGAAATAACCAAGTAAACAATATATATATTCATACGAAAAAAAATAGAATATAATTCAGTGGAAACATACATTGTAAGGGTTGCGAATCAACCTTAGTTATTTGAAGTACGGACAAACATGGCGTCCGCCGGCGTAAACACGCGAGTTGGAAATTGTGTACCGGTGTGAAACGGTCTCGTTTTAGTTAGCAGCCACACTGGCGATTGTTGCGGCGAATTAGCCATTCCGATTTCCTTATACTCGGCTAAAACAGTTGTGTAAACTTGGTTTAGTCCACTGCAAACGCCTCGAAAAAACCCACAGCTTTAGGAAATAATTTTATGTTACTAGTGATCTGTTTTCTGCACGTTGTTTTCACTCAAATGTAAGCATGTATAGTGTTAAAGAAATATATCGATTCTCTCACCTTTAATCGCTTAATATGAATATTTCTCGACGGCTATTCCAGTGCTTGAGCAATACGTTCTAACGAAGGTCCTTGAATCCTGAAAGAAATGGCAAATTATCCACTGACAGTTTAGCTCATAAGACATGGTTTATAAAGATAATGTTATTAGGAAAAAGTCATCCCACACAGAATATACAAACTTACCAAAACAGTGAAAAACGCAAAGCTATAATTTATGGCTTAAGATCCTAATTTTTCCCTTGAATGGAGTCAAATAGACTTTGACCGGTTTGAAACTCTTGTATCAGAAAAATACACAGTCAAATTATACACTTTTCGAGAATTAACTAGTCATTTAAAACGAAACAGACTCGTTATTGCATTTCGCATACTGAGGAACTGTTTCAAAAAATTCGAGTTCAAAATAATGCCTGACAGTTCATTAATATTTATAAGGGTAAAATTCAGCATTTATGAACTAGTCATATTTGTCAAATAATAACGATGCTTCAGCAATATAGGAAGTTCCTGGTCTCAATATTTTATTTATGAATTTAGATGAGTAGCAAAAATATTGAATGTCCTTAAATTCAAACGAAACGGATAAAAAAATGGGTTGGAAAATATAAAAGCTCTTGATATATAGCCTAGAGCTGACTGTTTTTTAGAAATAATTCAAAATGAAACTTAATGTTTCACCTGTATTTTGAAATTCATATTCATGACTATATGCTAACTTTGATCTAATTGAAGTTTTAGTCTGACTGAATACAAAACACCACATTTTGCTGTTTAAAAAATTCGTAAGTCGGGCGAAATTTGTGCATATATATGAGCGTGAAGGATACTGATATATGTTTGTAACGATAAAGGAGGGATTAGGTAAAACTTGTCAAAACAGTCTTATGATATTGAAATTAATTTCAACATCTTAATTCTAGTAAAATCTCCAAACCAAACGAGAAAAATTAAACGTTGAGAGCGGCATATGTTTTGACACTTCAACGCAAACCTAATATATTTACATACGGGCATCAGGTAAAACGTGTTTTACACACTTAAAAATGATCAATTGTGAATCATCCAAAAACTATATAACGGAAATAATTAATCTTGAAACAATAATTAAATGGGTCCTTCCAAGCAATGGTATTGCAAATATAAATCAATATTTGGAAAATATTTGGAGAATCACACGTCAACATGCAATTACTGCATTGCTCGATTAAGTGGCGCCATCCTTGACTAAAGCCGGCTTAAAAAATTATGAATTTTAAACAAAACCTCGTGAATGCACCCATCTTTCACTCCCAGAGTCAAACCTTGGGTCAATAAATGTGGTTCTACCTTTTGAGTCTGTGGATCAGAAACCTTAGTGTGTGACCATTCAAACTGAAAGCTATTGAGCAGTACTTTCATGTGGTACTGTTTATTATCCTGTACGTAACAAGGTGGTTTCAACTTTTAAGTCTGTGGATGAAACCCTAGTGTGTGACCATTCAAATATATTAATGAAAGCTATTGAGCAGTACTTTCAAGTGGTACTGTTTGTTTTTGACAATTTTGCAAAATGAAATTCAATACTTTTTCTTCAGTTTGAACTTAGCACTCTTGGGAGTGAAAGGGTTAAAAAGTAGTCAGATCGAATGAATATATCATGGAAGTATACGAGAAGGCCGCATATATTCCAGAGTTTTTTTTGCACAAAATAAAGCTGGTTTAACTAGGAATGATTTACAAGGGAAAACATGAAATTTGATAGAAATAAGTGCCGAGAAATAAGACATCAATATTTCATTTATTTGATGAAAAACAAAAAAATGGTCCATTCTAATATAATTATTCTATGTATGCAAAAACTCTGAAACTTATTTTTCCCTTCACCGACTGAAATACGACAAAATATTCACTTTTAACTGAAAGTATACTGCATAGCAAATTCTGCGGCGTGTAAAATGCGGAACTAATGAGATAAATTATTTAATATACCAGTAGGGTTTACGAAAGAATTAAAGGTCAATATAATAAATTCCGCCCCCGCCCAAAATAAATCCCTGTTCTTACTTTTATTATGAGCAAAGGGATTTTTTCATGGACTTATAAGGAATTTTGCATTTCAAACATGGTCGGGGTTATAAATATTTGTAAGGTAATTTGCATCTGAAAAATTTTAGGTGTATATTTAAGGCCCAATCAAACGGTCTCAACATTTGTTGAGTTATGTTATGTTGAGAGATGTCGAGACCATGCATGTCGTGTCAAACGACATGGAACAATAGAAATGTTGAGAAGATGTTGAGACAAAAGGGGTTTATACGGCCTCAACATCGGCTCTCAATAAATGTTGAGACTGTTTAATCTGGCTTTATACCGAACGTTTTACGGTTAATACTATAACTGAGTTCATTATATATATTGTTTATCACATTTGTGGAATATTTGATGGGAGAAGAATGCCCTAGCACGTTTAATTCAACAACGCGAATAAAAAAATAAAGTTCTTTGCTATTAACAAAAATATCGGTCAAGAGATCGATTTAAAAACAATGTAATATATATTTCTATTGCGAGGAAAAAGCGGAACTAACAAGCTAAATGATTGATTACCCTCGAAATTTATAATTTTATGCTGTTATTTTAGCATTTAATTGGTCAAATTGTTTAATTCAATTTGCAGTGCATAAAGTGCTGGCAATAAATCATTTAGCCTGTTAGGTTTGCATTTTAAATACTCGCCGCTTAAAGCTGTATAAATTAAACTCTTGTAGATTGAAATTTTTCCATCAATGCTTGGTCTATATGAGTTTTATTGAATACAGTCGAAGCTCCCGTAAGCGGACACCCTTGGGAAGCAGAAAAAGTGTCCGCAACTGGAGCTGGCCGCTGACGGGAATGTGTAAATACAGAGCGTATTCGGCAGTAAATATGAGCTAGAGTTCAAACGGGGTTTAATATTTTGTCAAGGCGGCCTTGATAAGTGGAGCTCGGTCCGCTTACGAGAGTGTCCGCTCAGAGAGCTTCGACTGTACAGAGTTTGTATGAGCTAGAGTTCAAACGGGGTTTTGTCAAGGCGGCCGCGTAAGTATAGCTGTCCGCTTACGAGAGTGTCCGCTCAGAGAGCTTCCACTGTATCATTTCATTGTGATTAAATAAGTGAACAAAGATAAACAGAACTAAACAGATAGAACTATTGTGCTATCGAACCAATCAGCTTATGGACAACTACCAGGAAATACAAATGATCCTTGTAAAACACCAACAGTAATCTTTTCGCAGTATTAGACAAGTTGAATTTTTTTTGTAATATAAATATTTGGTGCTTTTAAAAGCCCGGGCCCAACGAGTTGACGAGTACGTTAATTTATTAATTTATTTAGCGGCTTCGCCAAGTAGACCAGGGTAACCACAACAGCTTGCACCAATTACTGTATACCCGTAAACCGGCCCCCAGACCATGAATACATGAGCAGGCCAGACCACAACATCGCGGACTACGTCCCCTACTCTTTTCGAATAGTGATGTGGGTTCTTTAACGTCCCCTTCTAATTTAGTACGAGAAGGTGTAAGAGACAAGGACAATGGCTTAACGTCACTGCCCAATGGCGCGATCATCTGAACTGTAACAAGGCTAGGTATTAAGCACAACCAGCATGATCTTACCAATTCTTTTTAGACCCTAGTTTGTGGTCCGACTGGGATTCGAACCCGGTAGCGACCTCCCGCTCTGCAGTCTGATGCCCAACCAACTGAGCTAACCAGGCGGCAGAGTTCAAACAGTCTCGCTCTCGTTTGGTCTAATTATAAACTCTCACGCTGCTCTCTATTCAAATTTGAACCTGCGCAAATTTTTCTTGAGAGTCGTCGAGAGTTTTCTCTCGTTTGGCCTGATGATAGTCGATGAAAGTTGAAGAAGACTCCCATTAGAGTCAACTCTCAGCAACTCTCACCCTCCTTTAAGCACGGGCTCTTTAAAGGCCGTGGCAAACGAGGAAACATTGTTGTGGACGCAAATGTTTCCCCGTTTGCCCGCGCACGCAACACTGATTTGTTGCGGACACAAATTTTGCGTCCGAGACGCCAAAAATGTTTCTGAATTCTTTCAGAAACATTTTGCGTCCGAAACAAATTTCCCGTTTGCTCGGGGAAACATTTGCGTCCGCAACAATGTTTCCGCAACAATGTTTCCTCGTTTGCCACGGCCTTAAGACTGGTTTCGATATGATAAACAGCAATCAGTTTGGCTGTTTAATTTGCTGCCGAAAATCTCTCAGAATCTGCTTCAGATTCACTTCTCATCCAATGAAAGCGAATGAAACTTTAACTATGCGCCGAATAACATTCAATCAAGGTCTTTCTGAATTTCTCAATTCCTCGCGATCGATCATTATTTCCCGTACCAAGAAAATATAAATTCTGAAAATGTTTTAGTCCATGTTACTTTAATTATTTGACAGTTAAATCAAAGCATGTTTATTGAATTGGTTTGAATCAAAACTGTGTGTTTAGCATAAATATACCGCCCACCATCCATTGCAGTATAAAAGCGATTCACAAATTACCCATGATTTCACTGGCAGAATTGTTTTCGTTTATAAGCAGAAAAAAACACCGTAGCGACTAAAACGTTATAATTTAACGTTCTGTTGTTCACTGGAAGTATTTTTTATTTCAAATTGGGAATGAATCGCGATTTTCAGGCTACAACCCTAGTTTATCGTTAAATTGAAATCCGGTATGCAAAGAGTGTTTACTGCTAAAGAAATGTCTGAAAGAGTTGCCCACGCTTAAATTTAGCGGCTTTTTGTGCGAGTTTAATAATCAAATATATGAATTATGGCTAGTTTTAAGGTTTTAAGCTTGTAGCAGTATAAATGGTCGGCCTTCCGTCGAAACTGAAGGCACATCCGAGGTGGTCTCTTCGAGTAATTGATCACAATGGCTATTTTAAAAATCTAGGCAAAACGTTTTCTCAGTATAAACATGATTATCAAACTTAGCTTACCTTTTCCAACGAATTACATGCCCAGAACGGTTACATATGTGTAGGAATGATTTAAATGCGCCAAATAAATCTTTATAAGCTTTTTTTTTTTCGACGGTCGTGAATGATTTAAAATGATAATTTGCACTAAGTATTTTTACATCAATTACTTTTCTTTCCAAAACAAAAACATTGAGAGAGATAACAATGCCAGTTAAATAGCTGTGAAAAATTCAATTATAATGACGAAAACTAATGTCAGATAACGCCGACCAAAATATTAATCTGGCTGGAATATTCAATGTTATCACTTTGGGGAAGATTATTGGGGTAAATTCTTTTCAAACAGTTTTAACATAACGAGTAGAAAACATTAAGTTAAATCATGTGTGGGCCACTAAATCGTGACAAGTATTTATCTCACTTATTTACTTGTCACAAAGCACATTTAACCACAAGTAATGCACTTACTGATATTTTTTAACTTTTCCAACAGAATTTGCATAAAGGTTTATGGATGAGGAATCCATTCTTTCCTCAGAAAATTTTGATCGCACGCAAATGAATGCAAATGTTGAAAATGCGTTTTTATAAATCGCAGATTAAACCAGAGGCGAGCTGCTAATAGGAAAGTACTACACGCTGATTTTGTTTCCTGGAACTTTAATTTGCAAGAGAGATCGAAATATAATTTCTCAATACAATACCAATACATTTTCAAGCAGATAGCTGATGAGAATATAGAAAATCATCAACTAGGGCATATTAATCTTGATGTAACACCATTTTCTCAAAACGAGCTTTAAAGGGAATGTATGGAATTCACTAAGAAGAACTGAATTTTCGTGCTTTTGTGTTTTGCGATTAGCTTATCATCAACTTGGACGAAGAATACGCTAACAATAAACAAGAAGATAATTAAAGCAAAACTAAAAACAAAATACACAGGGGGGAGATTTTAGGAAATATCGGCGGAAATGAAATACAACAACAGCAACATGACGTATTTGCTGGCGCGATTGCTTTCGGAGTACTCGTGAGTGCTCGCGCTAGTTTTTGATTGGATAAAAAGATTTCGAAACCCTTCGAGTGCTTCAACGAAGACTTGCCAAAACCAACACTCAGAATCAGTTCTTCAAAATGTGACATGCAACTGACAGTGCAGTGAGGTGGATTGAAGTAAAAATGGACCATATTATCGCTTCAAGATGCTATATTCTGGCGGTAGGCAAACATGGCCCTGAGTAAACAGATGTTTACTCTTATTTTATTATCTCGGCTTCATTGTGTAATACAGTTATGAGCAGAACAGACGTTTATTTACTCAGGTTAGGCAAATAAGTAAAGTTGGATAATGCATTTGCGTCTTCAAAACTACGCAATATAATTTCATGGATTTATCTCAGAAAGACCCTTCTCCAAAATGGCCGCCGCAAAATTTAGAGACGTTTGTATGACTGGGTTAAACGTCTCTAAATTTTCCAGTTTTCAACTTCCGTTTTCTCGACTCAGGTAGAACCTAACCTAACGAAACTTCGTAAGATTACCAAACAAGAGGTGGTCTTTCAGGTGCTGGTATTGATTTTCCGCTCAGTTTAATATGAATTTGCGGCCGCCATTTTTTAGAAGGGTCTATTGCTTATACAGTTTAAAGACGATTGAAAGGCATTTTGAAGATGGAGTCTCGCTCCACCAACGTAATTATCTGTATTATTTGTAGTCATCTGAATAAGAGAAGTTTTCAATCTCTGTGGATACGTGACCTGTGCATTCGCTTTCGTACATTTCGTAAGTGGCCAGCCTCTATTGTTTCAGCGCGTGGTCACTTACGAGAGCCCATTCTCGTTAGCGACCAGCTACAGTTACGACCGATTTTTCGAATTCCCGAGGTGGTCGCTTACGAGAGCTTCGACTGTATACTGTATTAAGTAATCGTTGAATTATTTTGGTTTTACTTTACTACGCTCTATGATTGGTTCAAAAAACTCGCGCCACCTTCTCAACCAATCAGATGCAAAACCAAAACCAATCGCGACTTGGTCGCACGCGTTTTCCCGCGCTTGGCGTCGTGTATTTGCTTTGAGTGATCATTGGTTCATTGTGTTGTTTTCGTTTGTTGTAATTGCTTTGGTTTTGGTTTCACGACACTAAACTGAAAACCGCTATTTTTCAAGCTAAGAATCAGATTCCCATACAAATTCTGTATTTCGTATCTATATTAAAATATTCATTTTGGTAGCCGTAGGGAGATGCTAATAAATTAAAAAAATAAAATAAATACTCGATTAACGTTTGAAAGATATATGCGATATCGTTCAGTCTCTTTTTCTCCTCGCGTTTTTTCAGGAGAAAATTAAAGAATGAAGCGAAAGAAAATGTAATCGTGTTGATAAAATGACTATCACAAAGAGAATGGTATAATTATATTGTCAAAGCAAAAATGACAACAGTACATTTATAGCCACCTGTATAATCGATACGTAGAAATGCAAATTGTCACGAATTGTCTCCTGAACATTCGAAATGGTTTTGTGTTTCGTGCCAGACTGTCAGACGGCGTTAAAATGCGATAAATTAGATCGATTCTCCACTCTTTGTTTTCTAAAGATCTTGACAAACAATTTGCCCATTAAGCCATACAACCTGTGATATTTAGACTATCTCATTTGTTCGATTGAACACTTAAATAGCGAGAAAGTAAATAAAAAGAGGCGATAGATAGTCTACTTTGACAGCTATCCATCAAATTCGACTTTCAGACGAGAAATACAAAATGAACGAAGTGTAAAACGATTTGCGTCCATTGCTTGAAGCGGCAGATTTTTAATTAAAAATACTGTAGCGCGATCAAGAAATTTATTCGTTCGAACAACCGGAGGTAGCAAATATTACTGTATCTAATTCAAGGCACATGGAAACCATACATTTTTCGCGGTAATTATATACGCGAAAATAAATCGAATTTAAAAATTTTAGCGTGTAAGTCTGATGAATTGAGGGAATATTCAATGTTTTTTAATGCAAATCCTCGCACTGTTTGAACAAGTTTTGTAATTTAACATAAGCTTCGCGTGGTACCTATTTTCGTTTGGCAAGATATTTTGGAAATAATATAATGCGAATATAAACATTAAAATCCCGCGCAGAAAACGAAATCGTGTATCAGGAAATTCGGTCAACGTACTGGATTAAAAGTGAGCGGTTCTGCCAATTTGAAATCTGTCGTTTTTAGCAGAGAGATATGCTCCTGTATAAATTACTTTGTGAGTGTTGCGGCTATTTTATTTGAGAGAAAGTTCACCCTTTCAGAAAGTTAAATGGTGCGAAATTAAAATCAGCGAACCACTTTTTTACAAAACAAATTGCGTCTTCTGGAGTCAAAATTGTCAAAATGTATTTCGCATTTGTGTAAATTTATTTATTTCGACTCGCTAAATTTTTCATTCTTAACGCATACGTTTTTGTAGCGTATATTGTTAAAAGCCATTTGGCTTTATTTGTTACAAATTTTTGTAGTTCACTGCGACTTAGTCTTGAAATTCTTCCAAATATAGTGCGAAAATAAAGCCACAGTTGTCATTTTTCTTGGGACAAGACATGACTTCATTTTGGATCTTACCTCACACGTAGATCTGAATCCGAAAGTAAAGAAAGGCTTCTATGTTGGTCCTTTATAATCCACACGGGCAAGCACTTTTGGTAAATCCTATTTTGCCAGAGATCTCGTGTTCTGAGAACAAGGCAACCGACAATTTCTAATACCCAATATATTTAGTGTTT